TCTTTTTCTACTGACAGAATTACTTATAATTAAGATAAGGTTTACCATTCTATCTATGAAAGGTACTGTAAAGATATTTGTTTTTCTTAAATGGCAAGGATTTGATCATTAATTAGCATTTATGTTTTCTCCCTTTCTTTTGATCATATTTTCATTAGTACATAGATAATACAATAATATTGATTAAATTGACTTCACTAAATAGCATAATCCTGGCCTGTTATCACCGAAGAAGCATGCTAATTAAGCATTACAGTAATGACAGTCAGATACATACTTATCACCAATGTGTGATTCTGTCCCAAAATCTTAGCAAGTGTTTAAAACCCAAAGATGATTAGGCACATACTGTTAATCATCTGGCTTCAATATTCTAATTTTCTAAGAAATGTAATCATTGATATTGCTTGATTATTAATATTAACTTAAGGGCATCCCATGCATAAGTAGCAAAAATATATCTTTGATCTTTAATTTTAAAATTAAGGAAAATATGTAAAGAGTCCATAAATTGAGGTACATTAGAAAAAGCTTAACAATGAGATTTGTTTCAAAATTATCACAAAATAGATGTCTAACTTAGAGTCTAAGGACTAATTAATGTCCCCCATTCAATACAAGTTAAACCACAAGAAAGAATGCCCCTTCCATATAAGGTCACTACATGAGGAATACCACTCAATTTATATTAAGTCACTTCATAAACAATGCAGCTTATTCCGTATAAGGTCATTACATGAAGAATGCTGCTTATTCTGTATAAGGTCAGTACATGAAGAATGCAGCTCATTCAATATAAGGTCACTACATGAAGAATGCCGCTTATTCCGTAAAAGGTCACTACATGAAGAATGCTGCTTATTCGGTATAAGGTCACTACATGAAGAATGCTGCTTATTCCGTATAAGGTCACTACATGAAGAATGCTGCCTATTTCGTATAAGGTCACAACATGAAGAATGCTGCTTATTCCATATAAGGTCACTACATGAAGAATGCTGCCTATTTCGTATAAGGTCACTACATGAAGAATGCTGCTTATTCGGTATAAGGTCACTACATGAAGAATGCTGCTTATTCGGTAAAAGGTCACTACATGAAGAATGCTGCCTATTTCGTATAAGGTCTCTACAAGGAGAATGCCACTTATTCCGTATAAGGTCACTACATGAAGAATGCTGCTTATTCTGTATATGCTAATTACATGAAAAACTTGCTCATTCTGTTTATGGTCACAACATGAAGAATACTGCTTATTCAGTATATTAGATGAAGAATGCTGCTAGTTCTGTGTTGGACTTTACCAGAGGCACTGTGTTGGACAAATGCCGCTCAATGCTGCTGACCTCACCAGAAACTCTCTCCTGGACAAATGCCGCTCAATGCCGCTGAAGTGACCAGAAGCTCTGTCTTGGACAAATGCTGCTGAAGTGACCAGAAGCTCTGTCTTGGACCGACAAATGCCGCTCAATGCCGCTGAAGTTACCAGAAGCTCTGTGTTGGACAAATGCCGCTCAATGCCGCTGACTTTACCAGATGCTCTGTGTTGGACAAATGCCGCTCAATGCAGCTGAAGTTACCAGAAGCTCTGTGTGGAACAAATGCCGCTCAATGCCGCTGACCTCACCAGAAACTCTCTCCTGGACAAATGCCGCTCAATGCCGCTGAAGTGACCAGAAGCTCTGTCTTGGACAAATGCTGCTGAAGTGACCAGAAGCTCTGTCTTGGACCGACAAATGCCGCTCAATGCCGCTGAAGTTACCAGAAGCTCTGTGTTGGACAAATGCCGCTCAATGCCGCTGACTTTACCAGATGCTCTGTGTTGGACAAATGCCGCTCAATGCAGCTGAAGTTACCAGAAGCTCTGTGTGGAACAAATGCCGCTCAATGCCGCTGACCTCACCAGAAGCTCTGTGTTGGACAAATGCCGCTCAATGCCGCTGACCTCACCAGAAGCTCTGTGTTGGACAAATGCCGCTCAATGCCGCTGACCTCACAAGAAACTCTGTGTTGGACAAATGCCGCTCAATGCCGCTGACTTTACCAGAGGCACTGTCTTGGACAAATGCCGCTCAATGCGCTGACCTCACCAGAAACTCTGTCTTGGACAAATGCCACTCAATGCCGCTGACCTCACAAGAAACTCTGTGTTGGACAAATGCCGCTCAATGCCGCTGACTTTACCAGAGGCACTGTCTTGGACAAATGCCGCTCAATGCCGCTGACTTCACCAGAAACTCTGTCTTGAACAAATGCTGCTCAATGCCGCTGAAGTTACCAGAAGCTCTGTCTTGGACAATTGCCGCTCAATGCCGCTGACTTTACCAGAAGCTCTGTTTTGGACAAATGACGCTCAATGCCGCTGACTTTATCAGAAGCACTGTGTTGGACAAATACCATGTTTTGACTCTTTAAATAGAAAAGTTTTTTAAAACATCTTACCCATGATATTACTTAGTACTTGTGGTATTCTATAAACTAAAAGTAATCTTTCGTGACTTCTTACATGAAGGAATAGCCAAATCAGGCCACTGGTGAAATTTTAAAATTTTGGCCACCTGGGAAGACATCTCCTGAAACTTAAAATTTATACAGATTGAAAATTCTTTTTAGTATTTTGAAAAATAAATCTCATTCAGAGAATATGTTCCATAAGATTGCCAATGATAATTGTTGAAAATTTCTTGTGTGTCTTGGATGTCCTCTTCCCCCTCAGTTTCCTGGCAAAAGTACGTGTTTACTTTTGCTGTCTGAATTGAGCATATGATCCCCCCCCCCTTTTAAAGTTTGACTTAAAAATATTATTGATAATATTTTGGTAGACCTCCACACTTGATATTACATGTACAAGCAAATTTTACCAGCAACATTCACACGTGTCTTGGTAAACTAAAGAATTAATAATCAGTGTGTAATAATGCATTTTATTCTGTAAATGTTATCAAGATCAATTACCTGATATACATATGAGGTGGCTTATAGGTAAAACATCTTTAAATTACAATTTTAAAATGTACAATAAATGAGAAATTCATGGACGGAATTCAATGTATCAGGCATTTAAATTGCCTACAAAATGTTTCTGCACCAAAATAAAATGCAAGGCACATAACTGTAATCTTACTGCAGAATCAATCTACAACCTCTACAGTAAAAACTTATCATTAAATATACGTATGTCTGGATGGCAAATAAAAAAGTAATATCATTTTACAGAGATTACTTGTTCTAATGGACATTTACACTGAGATGTCAAACTAACCCCAAATTGCACAAAATATGTAGACCAAAACACTAAATGAAAGGTATAATATAAAACAATACTTAGTATTCAGTGTTTCATTACCAGATACAAGCTAAATAAAAATGACCAAACTTATGTACAATTCTCAGATCATCAGAAAGTAATACATTGTACATACATGTACTTATACAATGACTGGAAAACAATTCATGTCAAAATTATTCATCAATAACAATACAAAACATAAAAATGATCTATATAATGACTAAAAAACATGGATTTTTCAGTAAATACTATTGATATTTAAAAATTTCATGGAAAGGTGCCATTTTCTTTTCATTTCTTGATTAAAAAAATAAATGATTTTTTTCTTTAAGATATTTTTGCATGTTTTTCAGGGATAGACATTAACTTTCAGATTTACTTGCCCTTCGGGCAAGTGATCTCAAACTTTGACTTGTCCGAATGCAAAACTTGGTTGCCCAAATTAGGAAAGAACTTATAAGAAGAAAATAATTAATTACTGTAAACGTTATGATAAGAAAAATGTGACCAAGTACACTTCTGTCAATTTGGCAAGTTGAGCTGCATTTGTACATAAATGTATACCACTGTACTTGTAAATTTAACCTTAGCACACATTGCCATGCAGAATTAACCCTCCGTTTCCCTTTAATAAAATTCATTAAAATTTTTTTTTGGTAGGATCCTTTTGTGAATCGTGATTTTTCAGAGATAACTGTGAAGCAACGCTAAAGGAAGATAGTTGCTACGAAACATACATCTTATCTTGATCAGGATACATCCTGTTACACTGTCCTTATATTTTGTGCGTGAATAAATAATCTAATTTCCTAATAAGAAGTTAACAAAATTTTGTTAGACGTAGAGTGTATTTACTACGAAAGAAAATAACGAACCAGATTTTTAAATGAACGGTATAATACTGAAAATCTAGCAAGGGATTCCGAATGCAAAAACATTGTCAGTCAGGTACGTTACAGAAATAAAGTGTTCAATTTATTGTTTTATTTATAAATTAATGTAAACTAAATAAATATGTACATATGAATGAAAAAGAAATCACTTGCCTTATCGGACAAGTACATTGACAATTTCACTTGCCCGAACTGTCGATTTACTTGTCCCGGGCAATCGGACAACCGTTAATGTCGATCCCTGTTTTTTTTGTTTGCATCCTCTAACAAACATTTTTGAGGTAGAAAAAAGAGATGTTTTTAACAATATTCTGAAAGTTTGTGATTTATTTTGTATTTTTGTTTTATCCAAAGAGTCTATTCATTTAGGAAATAATGACCTTCTCATTTGTTATTTGTGACCCTTAATGCTGATTTAATGGTCGCAAACTGAGTTTTACCAGCAACACATCGAGGGTAAAAAAAGATATTTTTCCCATTCTAATGCAATTTATGCATTTTGTTTGGTGTTGATGTATAACTAATATTTTGTTCAGTTTTATTACACGAGGTACGTCACAAAATGTTGAGATTTTGTATCATTCTATTATGATGTCACAATCAAAACCTTTCATTCTCGTTATTAATGCTCGTTTAACTGCCTTAAAAAATCAGTGCATTGGCCAATCAAAATGCAGATTACAAAACAATTGCATTAGAATGTGTTACTTTATTACTTTGCATGCAAAGTATAAAATAACTCAAATGTTTCTCATCATCATTGAAGACTGAAACAATAACTTTACTGTAAATAAATGCTTTAATATTGATACTGTTCATGAAACCCTATCTGATCAGTATTTTTTATTACAAAATAAGGAACAAAAGGTTATGATTCAGTATCCCTGTAAAACAGCGCTGATCCAGACAGTTTATCTGTACTGTTATAGTCCTGCCTCGCCTGACCTCGGGAAAATCCCTCTCGAACCAAGCTGGCATTCTCTCGAGACAGGTTTATAGATTTCTTCAGCTGTTCATAACTCCAATTCATCTGCTGAGTTTCATTGTGATGACGACGTTTTGTGTCCTCCATTTCCTTCAGCAGATGATCATTTGTATTCACTAATGATCTACAGAAAGTTTTACAGAATTAGTAGAGAGGCCGACCAATGAAGGTCATCCACACAAACTACCAAAGCAAGCTCTCTAAATGACAGGTACTGTATTCTAAAATATGATCTGCCATTTGTAATAAATATCTAAAAATAAATGTGGAATATCTTTCTCTCTCTTTTTCTTACAAAACAATATATTCTATACCATGCAATGCCAATTCTTCAAGACAACCATCTTCGCTAGCCAAGGGTTTCTGATATGCTACTCTCCTCATAAACCCTTGGCGTTTATGAGGAGAGTAGTGTATCAGAAACCTTTGGCTAGCGAAGATGCAAGACAACTTGTACTTGGAATATTTCCTTTTCAAAATTTGCACAAGTACTACAATAATACTGTACTGCATAGTAGTTCTTAGTTGAATACTACTCATGCACTTGTATGCTAATTGCATTAGGCATATAAATAATAATTTATTTCCACCATGACTTACTTGTGACTCTCCTGTAACATGCTGGCCAGTTCCTGGACCTGACCAAACTGTTTCAGTCGGATCTGTAACATCTCCACCTCCGACTTAAGTATCTCATTCTGTCTTTGTAAGTCATCCGTAAAACGCAATTATTTACAATTCAGTTCATTCTTAGTTCTTTAACAGTATTTCTCAGTTTAGTTACTATCATGTTCATGGATTAATATCTACATTCCATTTGTATTTTCCTTATAAAGTGTGTTGAAAGCTTCATCATTCAAATCACCATCACACAGACAGAGAGGTCATCCTAATTAAAAAGCTAACTTGCCTTATTCAATTTGTCAGCCCAGCTGTCCATGTTGTGACATGCTGAATGTCCAAAATTTACAATTCAATGCAGAACTTAAGATTTTCCAAATGTTGTCCAAATACACTAATATGGGATTTTTTCTCATATATAGGGGCATAAGGGCAATTTCAATTTGATTTGTTGCCAACAATGAGATGATGTTAACTTCACTGTTTTGTTCATCAGATCCATGCATCAAATTAACCCTATGAAATATACCTGACTTTTACAAATGATACATGTATAACATGCTTTTTTTTTAATGAAATATGCAACTTAAGGACCCTCTATACACTGATGAAAAATGTTTTTTGGACTTTGAGAAAATTATATAATATAAAGGAGGATATATTGAAATTAACTAACTCATTTTAATATAGGGAGTGTGCCTTTTTTATTATTATTTTTTTTTATTCAGGAAAAATCTTCAAAGACAATGAAGTAATAGAAAAGAAAAATTGCCTTCGCTTATTCAAATGGATAAAATACATGCAAATAAAGTTTTCAAGTACTCTATCTTGGTCTAATGTTTAGAATACTTGGATTTATTTTAAATTATGTGATACAGTTCAGATTGCAATTTATTCTACTGATATGTCAAATGGTGAGTCAGCATAATTACACAAAAGTACCCTGAAAATAGGGTGCAGTGTAGAGAGGGTCCTTAATGTGAAGAGAGTTTGAATATCTACTGCTAAGTGAAATTCCAAAATAATAATAAAATTGTACATGAACTAAAACAGTATTATTATTATCTACATAAACTATATGTGTTGTAATGCCACGAATGCCCCCCGCAGGTAGCCATTTTTAAATCTTCCCAAGTTCAAGTAGGATAACTGTCAAAATTCATCGAACCAGGACCAAATAAGAACTTGACCTCTATTTTCTGGTAAAATACCTGCATGCGCAATTTTAACCTTATACATACATCCCTACAAAAGTTCGAGAGCGGAAACTGAAAATTTCTTATTTTTTTCTAAGTTCAAGAGGGATAATTGTCAAAAATCATCGGTAAACCAAATTCGAACTTGACCTGCATATTCCTATGATGTATCCATATGTCAAATTTGGGTTGAATGTGTGCAACTGTTGCTGAGATGATGAATAATGATGATGGAATGACAGAATGATGGAAAAGGGTAACACTATATGCCCTGGCCATTTTATGGTGGGGGCATAAAGACTAACAGACCCATTTAAAAATAATAATTAATAAACAATTTTTGAAAAATAATTATGGTGTGTGGGTGGGGTTGGGGTTAAAGTTTGTGGGTAACCTAAATTCTGTTGGTTTGTGGGAATCTAAATTCGGTGGTAACTCATAAATAGAAGCAATATGCTGACAAACTTATTGTTCGCTCGATGTAAATTTGGGGGTAAAGGTGTCCCTTGAAATCCATGAGCATTGGTTCCCCACAAACAGTGATGATTCCACAGTAAAAAGAAATGTAAAATATACCAAGTTGTGCCGGATTGAGACTTGAGACTGTATTGTGCTTTGAATCCTCCACTTCTTTGAGTTGAAATGACAGCTTTCTATTTTCATTCATATACTTTTGTAACTTGTCTTTTAATTGTTCCTGTTCAACAAAAAAAAATCTAAACTTAGTGTTGATTTTCTATTTTTTCATTAAGAACTCAAAAAGATTTTTAACACATACACTTTTCAGAAAATGATGCTAATAATAACACTAGCAATTATTGCAAAATACATAAGAAATGCTTCAAAGCTTCACCAACAAAATTAAACACAGAACTTTTAATAGACTGACTATATAGCATTTAACCTTGACAATGACATACCACATCTTTATAGGCCTTTGTGAGCGAGTTTTTCAGTTGTGTCTCATTGACAGAGCTATCAGCTAAGTTTGCTTTGGTGGCTTCTTCGTACTTCCTTAGACGATAGTTCTCGTCCTGGAGAGTTTTTAGATGACCTTCTAGTTGATGCCGTTTTTCTGTTTCATTGTCTGATTTCATGAAGTTCTCAATTGCTCTATAGGCAAGAGCTGTAATGAATTAAAATCAACTGAAATAAAACAGCAGTACTGTATTGAAATCATTTATTTCTATTTTTTGCAATTTAAATTCAAACACTCCATATCTTTTCTATTGTTCTATAATTGCTCTTTGGGGCTGCTTACTCTATTTGACCATCTTCTTGCTTTTTTATTTAGAGAACAGTCTAATGCATATTCAGTAAAATGAAAAATTACCTTTGAACTTGGCATGCTTATGTAGGGACCTTGAACCATTCCAATATGTCGACTAAATCAAGTATTTTGAAAAGGAAGGCCCTGTTTTCAGGTGTTTCAGGAGCCATACCCATCATGCTTCCACTGGTAATTTTAGAATCATCTGGAGAGTTTGGATGGTCAGTTCCATTCACTCTGTGGATCCCAAAGTCATCCTTAAAACAGAATATTATACCTTATTTACTACCAAGTAATTCTTTAAACAATTATTTTCGAATGGATTTGCATGTAGTACTCATGATCTTAAATGAGTAAAGGTTATATGAGCTAGATTTTAAATTACATGTACTTTTATCTCGCAAGTTAATTTAAATTTTATCTCTTTTTCAAAATATTTAAAGTAAACTGCTAGAATCTAAAATCCTTAGATTTTGATGATGACTTGCAGCTGTTCGAAGTGTATTGAAATGTGAGGTCAGAAATGTTACATATAGATAATGTTACCTCTACTTTTTTGGAAGGAGCACTGTTTGATCGTTGATGCATGTCCTCATCCTCACCGAATGATCTCCTCCTCTGTGTTGGTACACGAGGGGGGTCCTGGGTTATTTCACTTTGATTCAAGTTGTGCTGCAATTCTAGAAAACCAAGACAACAATAATGCAGATAACTTCTTAAATCATTCGAAATTTAAAAATTTTAATCATCTTTACATAAAAAGATTTCCAATATATCATTAGATTATGAGAAATATTTACAGATGCTGTGATAAATTTCCACTAAATAGTATGAAACAGATAATGTTACAAATACTAAGAACAACCATTATCTTGATTTGACTATAATTTTGTTTATGATACTGACCTGCACTAGGGTGGGGTGGGGGTGAGGGTAAGGTAGCCGTGACTCTTAAACTTACTGTAGGCTTCTGCCTCATCCTCGTACTGTAGATTGGCATCATGTCTCTAAAGATATCAAGTTTCATTAAATTTCCTAATTCAGAGAGTGAAAGTTATTCTTAAGTATGTATGTGAATATAAATGCTGAACATTCCTGCTTTAATCAAAACACTTTTTTAAGCTTGTAGGGAATCATACAAATAGTGAACCCATTTTAATGGTTTATAGGTGATATTCCTAGAGTCATATTTTGTAACATCAATAAAGTACTAGAGTACCACATGTAGCTTGATATATATATGTAAGCTAAAGTGGCTGTTTCTAGAGCTTCCTAATAACAAAAAATAATTTCAATGCTTATCCATATTTAAATATTAAATTTCATATACTTAGTTGTTATAAATGAAGTATCTAAATCAGATACCATGACCAGAACTTACCGTGACTGAGGATCATCCTAAGACGTAACATTCACCACAGGAATGTTGGGATATTTTTCCGATAACCTTTTAACCTTTCGTCCATTACAACTGCAGGTGTTGGATTAGTGGGTCTCTATTACAACAAATTTCACTGGTAAATCTAAGTACAAATTCAAGCAGCAAGCTGTATATCAAGCATTGTATGTGCTATTTTTATATACCGGTGACTGAACAAAGAATATTTGACACAAGATTTGGGATTCAAACACCATTTTCTTGTTGAAAGCACGTCTTCTTCTGAGGGAGGGAGCATATTTCTTATGCCAAAAAAAATAAATCAGATATGATGAGCAATCTAGTAATAATACATGTGTATGTAAAACCGTACCCAACATTGATGTTTTCATGCTTAAGGACATCATGATGATGGGTGATAAAGAAATCAACAAAATTATTAGCTTCTTTGTAACTGAAGTTAGAAACAAATTGTGCAAAGACTATTGACCAAATATCTTTGCATTCCTACAAAAGAAGAAATAATGTGCTCCAGCAGAAAATGAGCAAAATTATTTAGAGTGAGAAAAACCTAATTGATTAATTCCTGGAGGAAAGCATTAAAAAGGAGAAGTAATATCCCCGAACATGTGGTAGGTGCAAGTGAGATTCAAACAGGATTCGGAGGTACTTCATTCAAATTTAAGTATTGTCATTCAAGTACACATTTATTTTCGTGTTTTTGTGAGTTGGAATTTTAGTTTTAGTTTTTGTTTCTGTGACCTGGAATATATATTTCATTATATTGTGAAACATGTTGAATTCATTGCTTAAAAATATTTATATGTTTAATATTTATATGTGTCGTTGTTGTTGTTGATGATTTAAATCCAATAATTTACCTGTAGCCATCCAATAAGTTTTTAAAATACTGTCCTTTATTTTACAAATTGGGCAGATTTTTAAAACTCATTGGACTGTTAAAGGACTGTCTTGGGTCTTTCAAGAAGTAGAAAGTGCATGTATTTAAAGAACAAAAAATAATATTCTATTTTTTTCCCCCTTGAATTAATTTTTTTTTTGCAAACAAAGGAACTAAAAAGCTATTTTTAAAATTCTACCTCCCTTGGGCTATCTGTTTGTTATGTATCAAGGCTTTTCAACACTAAATGGTAAAAATAAATCTAAAAATGCATACATCTTTTATAATTGTGCATTCAAATTCATATAAACCAAAGTTGAGTACTTGAAAGTAAAGTAAAACAT